TGCATGCAGCAGACCCAGTCTGGATTCCCAGCATCCCATATGGTCCCTCAAGCACCGCCAGGAGTAATTTCTGCATGCAGAGGTAGAATCAGGAGTAATTCCTAAGCAGAGCCAAATATGGCCAACGATACTATCTCGCCAGCCCCTCTTAAATAACTGTGTTAAAAAGCACACCGTGATTTTTTTTTTAAAAGGGAATGCTTTCGGGGGCCAGAAAGATAACCCCACAGAATGATGCATATGCTTTGCATGCAAGAGGCCCAGGTTTGATGACCATACTACGTGCGTGGCCCTCTGAATGCTGCCAGGAAAGACTCCGGAGCACTGAGCCATAGTACCTTCTGAGGACAGGAGGCACAGTCTCCCCCAAAATAATAATTCAAAAAAAGCATTCTGGTATGCGTGGGGCATAGCAAATACAGATACATAGAGACTAGAGCGCTGTAACTATATTACATGAAAATGGACCCACTTACTCCATCTGATTATCAAAAATGAATAAAAATATAACAAAATATGAGACACATGATGACTCTTATTTCAGTTAAAATATACATGACAAGGCCCCATGCGTAATCTACACAAAAATCACAATACAGAGGTATGACGACTACCATGGCACAGCACTCCAATACGCTAATCTGAACTGAAAATGAGCCTCAATTTTTCTTCTAATTTACAAAACATACTGGCAAGTTATGTTGAAAGCCACACTTTATTTTCTTAATCCTTTCCAAGTATATTAACTTGAAAAAGGTTTCCAAAAGAATGAGTAATCACAGTGTAATCCACAGTGATGTGTATGCTATAAATAGACACTGGCATAAATTACCTGGAAAGTAGGAATATCTTGGTAAAAAAAAAAAATGTTGCGCAAGGGCCACGGAGATGGTGCTAAGAGACAGTGCGGCAGGTCAGGCCTTGACCTTGCATGTAATGGACCTGGGTGCAGTCCCTGGCAATCCATATGATCCCGAGTCCCACCAGGAGGATTCCTGAGCGCCGTCAGGCGTAAGCCCTGAGAGCGAAGTTGGATACAGTGGCCCATAGACCAAAAAAAAAAAAAAAAAAAAAAAAAAAGGGGGGGGTATGTGTGTGTGAGGGGGTTGGGGAGGAGGGGGTAAAAAGAAAACTCTATGCACCATTGGGCCTAACTTTATATGCCGAAGCCCCCATTCAACGGTGGGAATGGGGGGGAGTGGGCACACTACACTGCCCAAATACGGCCTAAAAACAAAATCCTGGTACAGTGGGTGGGTTCGATCCCAAGAACCACCAAGAGTAACTACTGAGTGCAGAGCCCAGAGTAAGCCCTGAGCACCATTGGCTATGGCCCCCAAACCAGAAATAAATAAATAAAATTAAAATTAAATGCTGTGTGAATCAGAAAGCTAGCAAATCCTTACTCTGGACAAAAGCCGAGATCCTGACTTAATTACTAGATTTCCAATAACTAAAAAATGATAAAATTAAAAGAGACTAATAGGTCGATATCCTGGGCAAAGGAATTTGCAAAAAAAATTATGCACCTATTCCAGTGTTAAGGAAGTATTAATTTACCATTCCTTAAACACGGGCTGTACCTATGACTTCCTTTCAAAGACAAAATACCTTTTTCTCAATGGCAAAACCCTGAAAATAGAGTATCTGCCAGGAGATGAAAGTGAATATTAACTGTTAATATTAAGCTATCAGTATTACTCAAAATTGTGAAGATCATCAAAAGCAAAGGCTACAAAAATGTCACAGTTGCCCAAGAAGATAAGTCTATTAAATATGTGATACGCACGAGCTTCTAGAGAAGGAAAAAAGCTATTATGTAAGAAGTAGGGGTATATGAAAGATATGAACTCTAGTTAACAATGGATTAATGGGGTCCAACAATTATAATCATACTAAAGTTACGTATCAATAATAATGAAAATTGGTTAAGTGCAAGGTATATGGTAACTGTACCTTCTCCACAAATTTCTTGAAAACTTAAAACTGTTACTTAAAAAAATTAAAAGATCAGAGCTGGCGCAATAGCACAGTGAGTAAGGTGTTTGCCTTGCACGCAGCCAACCCGGGTTCGATTCCAAGCATCCCTTTTGATCCCCTGAGCACCACCAAGAGTAATTCGTGAGTGCATGTGCCAGGAGTAGCCCCTTTGCACCGCCGGGTGTGACCCAAAAAGCATCTACAACAAAGATCTACAACAAAACTCCAAGATCCTGACTTCACCCACTAGGCGCTGGAGAGAGTACAGGGGTTAAGGCACTTGCCCTGCATGTGGTAGATAAAAGTTTCAGCCTCAGCACCACATACAAACCTGCTGAGTACCTTCAGGGCTCACTCCTGAGCTCAGCACCAGGACTACTGCCAGGTGTATCCAAAAGCCAAAACCAAAACTGCACAAACCTAAGGGCCAGAGAGATAGCTCAACAGACTACGCACATGCAGGAAACCAGAGTTCGATCCCAACGCCACACAGTCCCCTAACCACTACAGAGAGATACCCCAAAGCATGAAGGGGTGAGAGTGTGGTCTTCCTGAACATGATGGGTATGGCAAAAAACAAAAACATGCTATCTGAAATTCTTTTAAGGAGTATATAAACCAATCTCGATACACAGACCACTACTTTAAGCAGATGACTGAATTTATCTAGATAGATCTAAAGGTCGACCGACTTCAATTCCTCCTCCCTGAGAGAGCTAGAGAGCCCAGCAAGCTACCGAGAGTATCTCGCCCGCACAGCAAAGCCTGGCAAGCGCCTCCTGAGGTATTCAATATGCCAAACACAGTAACAAGTCTCACAGTAACAAGTCTCACAATGTTACTGGGCCCGCTCAAGCAAATCGATGAACAACGGGAGGACAGTGACAGTGACCAATCTAAAGAAGGACTGATGAAGGAAAATCTTAATATAAAAAGCCTTCCAAATCAGAAACATCCACACATGAAAAAAACACATGCAAGGAAAGGTCTTTCAAAAGCAGTATATAAAGTCATTTTTAAGTTTGCAAAGAGTAAGATTTATTCTTCAATACAGCAACCAATACATAAAAAAAACCAATGTACTGGAATTCTTCAAAGCAGGGTAGAACTTAGATAATATAAGAGGAAGAATATTTAAGTTAGCAAAATTTCACAGAGAAATGCTGTTATATCTGTTCCTGTTTTATAAATACAACTTTTCAGGGCTGGAGCAATAGCACAGTGGGTAGGGTGTTTGCCTTGCACTCAGTGGACCTGGGTTCAATTCCCAGCATCCCATATGGTCCCCTGAGCACCGCCAGGAGTAATTCCTGAGTGCAGAGTCAGGAGTAACCCCTGTACATTGCCAGGTGTGACCAAAAAGCAAAATAAATAAATAAATAAATAAATGCAACTTTTCAAAATGATACATGCAGGTCGTTTTTAAAACTCTAGCTGAGGGGCTAGAGAGACAGCACAGCGGGTAGGGCATTTGCCTTGCACATGGCCAACCCAGGTTCGATTCCCAGCATCCCATATGGTCCCCTGAGCACCGCCAGAAGTAACTCCTGAGTGCAAGCCAAGAGTAAACCCCTGTGCATTGCCGGGTGTGACCCCACCTGCAGGATGACATTGCTTTGTCCTTCCTCCACAAGGAGCTTAGGTTAATCAGGTTACACCCATCACAGTGCTCCTGAGGCACTTCCATTCCATTGTGTTTATCTGTAAACATTCTTCCCTATGCTCTCCTCCCCAACCAGTTAATCAGCTTTCCCCCTAATCAGACTCTGTTAACTTGTAAGGTTAGATTCCTCAGAAATCTCTGATTTTGTATGTATGAGTGAAATATTGCCTTTCTCCTCTCCTTATGCCTTATGAACAGTTTACTTTAAAGCAATGCCCTTTTTGTATAGATAAAGGAAGACCGTTAACATTATGCTTTGTAACTTAGGATTTGATTGGCTTTGAATATTATTCACTCCCGGGCATCTGCTTTCTCGACTTATGCCTCAGTTGCCCTTAGTTCCTAACACCCCAAAAGCAGGGTCGCGACAAGGGACTGAATGGACCCAGGGCAAGTGGTGAGCTACCCTGGCATCGAAATGGGCCAGGCCAAAGTGCCACGATTCTTAACCATAAGTTAAGAGTTTGATCATAGACAAATGCTGTCATGGTCCAAAAGTAACGACGAAACTAGGATCCTGCTAGGGGTGGGAAAGACTATCTGGTCTGAGCACTGTAGTCTGAGATCGAGATGGCCCTAGGAGAGCAATTCTGTAAGTTTAAGATACTTTTTATTGTATCCATACAAAATGATTTATATTATATATGCTTATATGCTTGTCGGACAAGGAGAGGAGAAACACACCCATGGGATTCCGCTCGAGGGTGGGTCGTCCTGCTGAGAGAGAATCTGTCCTAGGAGAGGCTTTCCCTGAGGGAAAGAATTCTACCCCTATTGATTGTGACCGCATCTATGTGTAATTGTCACCCCAATCCTTCATCCAGAGAGATATAATGAGACTGTAGGATGGGCAAGGGGAGGCAGAGGCAGGGAAGGGAGACTGGTGTGATTGGAATAAACTGCGACTAAGACCAACCAGCCTGGCCCTTGTTCCTTCCCTTGCCTGCCCATCGCCATCAACCTCCCTGGGGTGGGGGAAGCAGCATGAGACTACAGAACGCGGGCGGCGGGAGAGAAAGAGCCACCACCGCTGTGTGCTGTCCCCTTTTGAGTTTACACACACCCCCCCAAAAAAAACTCTAGCTGAAGACCACATAAATAATGAGTTATTTTGTACTAGTTAAGTGAAGGGGCCAGAGGGATAGTACAGTGGATAGGGGATTAGTCTTGCCACGGCCATGCTGGCTTCCAACTCCAGCATCCCTTATGGTCCCTTGAGCCTGCCAGGAATGATCCATGAGTGCAGTGCCAGGAGTAAATCCTGAGCACCTGCAGGTGCAACTCCACCCTCCACCCCAACCTGCAAAAAATCCTAAGACTACCCAAAACCTAAACTACTTCTTGTACAATTGCTTACCTGACATTCTGGGTAGGATTCCACCTTTCAGAGGGCAGTTCTCCACTTTGTGGATCATCTACAGGTGGGTGAAGAATTGAAATGCATACATCTCCATTCTATGGAACATAAATATCACAGTAAGTAGTCAAAATATTTTACATCAAAGTTTCCACTGTTTCCACAAACTTATCAGATGATAAATAATTCTGCCTTTTTTTCGCATCTGGAATCCAAGTTAAAGAATTCATCATTTTTATATTACATTCATTTTGACTTATAAAGATATGATTTCATAGCTTAAAAACAAATACATTGTACTGAAAATAAAAATAGCTAACCTTAATCACCTTCAATACTATCATTACTAGTTTCAATAACTATCACGAATATAAACTGAATATCGACCTATTCAGGGGCCGGGAAAATGGCTCACAAGGCTGAAACACATGTTCGGCATGTGAGAGCCCTGGGTTCATCCTTGGCACCATACGATCTCACAGCACTGACAGGTTTGGTCGAAAAACCAAGTACATACATACTTACACAATATAGGCTTCACAGCAACTTAGTTCTAACTTCCCTAAGTATAGGTACTGAATAGCTTACCACTATGGATACAGTATTAAAGATCCTAATTCACAAATGCATTTAATTTAGGGGGAAGGCATTTGTCTTATCTGAGGCCAGTTACAGTTTGATGCCAGGCACTGTACAGTTGCCCCCGAGCACAGAGCTGGAAGTGTCCCTGAGTACTTCCAGATGTGCCGAAAAACACACAGACAAACAAATGAGCACATGTATAAATATAATTGCTTATCACTGGCTCTAAAATAAAAGACAAGGGGCTGGAGAGATAGCACAGCAGTTAAGGCACTTGCCTTGCACATGGTCGACCCAGGTTCAATCCCTGGTACCCATTATGGTCCCCCGAACACCACCAGGAGTAATTCCTGAGTGAAGAGCCAGGATTAGCCCTTGAGCATCGCCAGGTGTGGCCCAAAAAAGAAACAAAAAAATAAATAAAAGACAAGATCCAAATTTTTGGTGCTGTTACGTGTATTGGGCCGAAGAAATGGTTCACGGGGTTAGTGCACATGTTCTGCATGCCAAAGACCCAGGTTCCATACCCAGCAGCACAACGGTCCTTGAGCACCATTATGTATACTCCCACCCGAGGAGAAAAAAAAAACAAAACAAAACACACCTACAACAACAAAAAAAGGTGCAATAATTTGGGGGAAAAGAAGTAACAGAGCCCTTTTCACATCTGAGGCCATCAGTTCCATTCTTGATACCACCAAAAATAAAAGGTACAGAATTTTGCACATACAACCCAAACGGAAACATACAAAGGCACAACATCATATCAGGATAATAGAACATTCTAATTTTGTTTTGAGCTACACCCAGCAGTGCTCAGGGCTTACTCCAGGCTCTGCTTTCAGGGAATACTCCTGGCGGGGCTCAGAGGACCATATGAAGTGTCAAGGACTGAACACAGGTCAGCTGCTTACAAGGCAAGAACCTTACCTGCAGTACGATTGCTCTGGCCCCAATAATAAAACATTTTTAAAAGGAGAGTAAAATTGCAATAAAATGAATCCCAGGGAGCTGAAGCAATAATACAGTGGGCAGGGCATCTGTCTTGCACGCACCCAACCCAGGTTCAATCCTTAGCACCCCACAAGGTGCCCTGAGTACCAGAAGTAATTCCTGACTGCAGAGCCAGGAGTAATACCTGAGCATTGCTGGATATGGCCCCAATAAACAAAAAAAAATATATATATATATATATTATTAAATGAAATGGGCTGGAGCAATAGCAAACCGGTAGGGCGTTTGCCTTGCACGCAGCCAACATGGCCAACCCGAGTTCGATTCCTCCGCCCCTCTCGGAGAGCCCGGCAAGCCACCGAGAGTATCTCACCCGCACGGCAGAGCCTGGCAAGCTCCCCGTGACGTATTCGATATGCCAGACACAGTAACAACAAAATCTCCAATGGAGACGTTACTGGGCCCGCTCGAGCAAATCGATGATCAACGGGAGGACAATGACAGTGATTAAATGAAATAATACCAAACACTAAATTCTGAAGCTCCAATATGGAAACTGTATTAGATGCTACGAGGAAGGTTAAAGGGAGGAGAGCACTACAGAAACAAAGTATTATCTGGGCTTAGGACACATAGGAGTTGGTATAAAAGGAGAACCAAAGACTTGGTGATTAAGGACATTTTCTCTGGGAGGAGGGCGAAGGGAGGAGGGGGCCATGGAGACACAAAAAACACTCCCGATGGCTGGGAATCAAACCAAGGCAGTCATGTACAATACAAGTGTCTTAAATTCTCTCTCCGGCGCACTGAAAAAGCTTCTGACATGAGACTTGTGTGAGTGTACTTTATGGAAATTTAGGCATGAGTTTTTGTTTAGAGAAATAAGCTATTATAAACGGTGTAATAAAATATGATGGGATAGGGGCTGGAGCGATAGCACAGCGGGTAGGGCGTTTGCCTTGCACGCGGCCAACCCAGGTTCGATTCCCAGCATCCCATATGCTCCCCTGAGCACCGCCAGGGGTGACCCCTCTGCATTGCCGGGTGTGACCCAAAAAGAAAAAAAAAAGATGGGTTAGTTGTATTCGGGCTGGAGTGATAGCACAGCGGTAGGGCGTTTGCCTTGCACACAGCCAATATGGCTGACCTGAGTTCGATTCCTCCTCCCCTCTCGGAAAGCCCGGCAAGCTACCGAGAGTATCTCGCCTGCACAGCAGAGCCTGGCAAGTTCCCTGTGATGTATGTGATATGCCAAACACAGTAACAATTGTCACAATGGAGACGTTACTGGGCCCACTCGAGCAAATCAATGAACAACAGGAGGACAGTGACAGTGACAGTTGTATTTGTCTTATACTGCTACTGCAAAATAGTGTCTCAAAACAACACAAATTTAGGGGTTGAAGTAATAATAATAGTGCAATACTTGAGACTAGGAAGAAGTGGGGAAGGGGAGAGAAGAGGAAGCGGGGAGTAAGTTGTCACACCTGACAGTGCTCAGGGATTACTCCTTGCTCTGTGCTCAGGCAACAATACAGAGTAATGGGACTGAACCTGGGTTAGCCATGCAAAAGGTTAAGTGCCCTACCTGGCTGTATACTATCTCTTCAGCCCCAAAACTGATTCTGAAATATATAGAAAATCAAGGAATCTACAATAACTCAAAACAAACCAAATATGCAGGACTCACATTTCCTGATTTCAAAACTTAGTATAAAAGTACAGTTAACAAAAACAGTTTAGTACTGGCATAATAACAGACATATGGACCAAAGGAATAAAAATTGAAAGCCCATTCCAAAAAAAAACCCACATGGCAGTTAAAAACTGATTTTTGAACAGAGTGCTGTAAATTCATTAAATGGGAAAAGCAAAGTCTCTTCAATGATAAGAGATGACTGGATTTTTCATAAAAGCAGAATGCGTCATACAAAATAAACTCAAAAAGGAAAAGATCTGAGAGCAAAAAGCATAAAGCCTTAAAAATAAGAACAAACACTCTGAGGATGGGTATGCAGGTGAGCAATACATGTGATGTTATGGCTTTAATACCAGGCACTGTATTAGGGAACAAAGGAATGAAGGAACACGCATGAATACACACACATACACACATACAAATTAAACAACAAAATAATAGCACATCCAGAATATATGCAGAACTTGTATTACACGCACCCAATAAAAACCAGCTGATTAAAAAATAAGCAAAAGACTTGTACATTACTTCAAAGAAGGTATACAAATGGACACAATAAGCCCACAAAAGAACATCTAACATCATTAGTCACTAGGGAAATACATTTCTGAGTGACAATGAAGTATTTCATAAATACCTTAGGATGGCTGTAATTAACACAATGGAAAATAACAAGTAGTCAGGTGAGCATATAGAGAAATTAGAACTCGTATATACATCATGGGAGGGACTGTGAAGGAATTCGACTGCTGGAGAACACCTTGGCAATTCCTCAAAAAAGCTAAACATCTGACAATGAAATTCAACTCCCAGGTATAGAAAACTAAAAAGCAGTGAAAGGTAGTCAAACAGGTACTTCAGGGGCTGGAGTGATAGCACAGTGGAGAGGGCGTTTGCCTAGCATGGGGCCGACCCGGGTTCAATCCCTGGCATCCCATACGGTCCCCCAAGCATGACCAGGAGTAATTCCTGAATGCAGAGACAGGAGTAGCCCTTGAGCATTGCTGGGTGTGACCCTAAAAGAAAAAAAAAACAACAACAACAAAAACAGGTACTTTAAAAGGTACCTGTATACGAATGGTCAGAGTAGCACTATTCACAGATCCAAATTATGCATAGAATTGAAGTGATCATTAACAGATCAAAGGATTTTTTTAAAAAAAAGAAAGAAACTGGTTCTGTGCTCAGAGGTCTCTCCTCAGGTCCTCAAGAGACCCATGTGCAGTAGGTACAAGGGATTGAACTGGGGTCAGCCACATGCACAGTAAGCAAGCGCCTGGCCTCCTGTACTCTCCATATTTGACTTTAAAGAGGCATGAAGTATACGAACACATGAAACAACATGAATTAAAACCCCAGAATATTATGCTGAATGGAAACCAGACCGAAAGGCTGCATGTTCTATGATTCCACTATTCTAAAATAACTAGAAGAAATGTGGCTGTCGAGACCGGGCGGGGGGGAAGAAAATGAGAAGACATTACTCAGTGAGTACCGCGTTTTACACTACAGTAATAAAACCACTAAACAAGTACAGGTGGGAACTGCACAGCATTAGGAATATACTTACTGAAGTCACTTAACTTTTCTTTTTTGCTCTTTGGGTTATACCCGGTGATGCACAGGAGTTACTCCTGGCTCTGCACTCAGGAATTACTCCTGGCGGTGCTCGGGGGATCATATGGGATGCTGGGAATTGAACCTGGGTCGGCCGTGTGCAAGGCAAATGCCCTCCCCGCTGTGCTATCACTCCAGCCCCAGAAGTCACTTAACTTTTCATCCTAAATGCTTTTATGTATGCGAATTTGGCCTTAAATTATCTTTAAAATGAAAGAGTTGGGGAGACCTGGAGAGACAGATCAG